GTGTGTGTGTGTGTGTGTGTGTGTGTGTGTGTGTGTGTGTGTGTGTGCGCGTGTGCGTGTGCGTGCGCGTGTGCGTTGAACATGTGGAGCTATCGTTGTCTTATCTGGTGTCTGCACAAGCCCACAGAACTTTATCATCCCATAGTTCCCATGGCAGTTATGGGCTTTTGTCTGAGTCTGAATCTGTGTTTTTGTAACTTGCCTTTCATCAAGAAAAAAGAAACATCTAAAACAACTTTTCAAACTTTTTTCTCTTCCCTGATTCTCATATTGTCTTCCTCTGTGTCTCTTCCTATCAGTCCCCTCCATGCGGTGTCCTTTGCTCTGGCCTGTGGGATTCCCGGCGTGGCTCTGCTCACGCTGGCGGTGAACCCCTTGACGGGCTTCCTGGGCGCCCTCAACATCTTCCTCTACACCTGCTGCTACACTCCGCTCAAGAGGCACAGCATCGCCAACACCTGGGTGGGAGCCGTGGTGGGTGCGATACCCCCCATCATGGGCTGGACGGCTGCCACCGGCTGTCTGGAGCAAGGTACGACTCGCCGGCTGAGAGGCCCCGGATCGTAGGACCGGGGCCTTTTACAATACTAAGTAAAGAGATATAAATGTGTTTAAATTATGGACGTACTGTCTTTAATAACCGTTTTTTTTGTAATTTTATATTTTGCACGCTAAGCTGCACCGTCACTCTCCTCCCCCCTCATTATTTTCTCTCCCCCCCCCCAGGTGCTCTGTTGATGGGTGGTTTCCTGTACAGCTGGCAGTTCCCTCACTTCAACGCCCTCAGCTGGAACCTGAGGGAGGACTACTCGCGCGGCGGCTACCGCATGATGTCCGTCACCCACCCGGGCATGTGCAAGCGGGTGGCGCTGCGCCACAGCGTGGGCCTGATCGGCCTGTCTTCCCTGGCGCCCGTGCTGGACGTCACCACCTGGACCTTCCCCATCGTCTCCCTCCCCATCAATCTGTACATCAGCTACTTGGCCTTCCGCTTCTACCGCGAGGGCGACCGCGGCAGCGCCCGCAAGCTGTTCTTCTGCAGCCTGTGGCACCTGCCGATGCTGCTGCTGCTGGCGCTCACGTGCAAGAAGCCTCGGAGGGATCCGGAGGAGGCGGCGGCGGCTCCACCTGCGGCCTCTTCAGCGCTCGCACTGCAGAGCTAACCCGTTTCAAAGATGCCTAAACTCTTTTCTAAGACCTCCGAGAGCTCTGTTTGTAACCGAGACATTCCCTCGGCGTCTCTCCTAACCGCTCGTCGTGCTCGTAAGGAGTCCGGATGATGGACGCTTTATTTTATCTGTTTAATTGCAGCCAGTGGCACTCGCTGCCGATCAGGAAATGAGCTGGAAACGATTCGGATCAAAATAACGGATTTACAGAAACCACACTGAATTATTACATCAGGCTGTAATCAATTTGATGTGTGTGTGTGCTGTATATATTCTGTATTTATTTATATTGAGGGCCCACCAGCTCCTCTCCATGTTGTACATGACTGATGTTGTATCTCTTCGACAGTGTGAATCGCTCCTGTGGATCCACACAGGGATCACCGTCTGCACATCAATGCAGCGTTCAAATGCAAAATAGAAGAAGAGGAAGTATAACGGACATGAAGACATCACGTAATCACAAGATACGTGACTGATTTTCAGTCTGTGTATAGAAATAGGACAAATATAAACCGTTTGAAGCAGCTACGGCACTTCTGTTCATTCTACTTTGACCTGATACTCGACGGTAAGTTTAGCTTCACTGTATTTTTGCTGCTCTGCAAATGCACTGACGGGTCCTCGTTTCGTGTTCGTAACGGTTATCTTCACCACGGATCGCCTGCACCAAAGCAAAGGGAATAGCCGACGCCCGTCTGAAACACGAGGGCAAATGTTCTCTAACAATAAAAAACTCTGTTAATGTAATTCTGTCTTTTGTGTTCATCATTTGCTCGTTTCTCTATTTAGAAGTTTTACATTGTGCATGAAGTGTGGAGGCCTCATACGGAGCCTTGTTAGCTGGCCTCATGTCCGCATAATATATGGATTTAACTTTCAATTATGGCCTTAGTGGATATGCTCGCTTTAAGCACACATCGCCATCCCCTCCAATGAGCCTCTATTTAGCAGCCCACCTCCGCACCTGTCAGTCAACATGTGCTCCCCTTCCGCCCCCTTTTAACCCTAGTTTTGGTATTTAGTTACAATTCCATCACCGCACTCGGAGAAATGAGCGTCCCCTTCCCCTTTCTGCTGCCATCCTCCCTCCATAAAAATAGAGGGGGGGACTGTGGGATTTAGCCAAGGCCGGGAGACCTGAAACGGGATCGACATCCTCGTAAAGTGTCTGACCGGATACAGAGTTTCATATCGGAGGGGGGACAGGGGAGCGATCGAGCCAGCTGTTACACTTGAGAGAGAAATGGGGGGGGGGAAACACGCATACACACAACCTGTATGGAGATTGAATGTCAACCTCCAGGGCTCAGTGTGATGGCCTGTCGTGGTTTACAACATCCGCTCCTATAGAGGTGGAGTGCTGGTGCTGTCTTGTCCTATCAGCTCCGCTCTCTTTGTACATTTCTGGAGTTATTCGCATTCGGTGTTCTACTCCCGTTGCTGATGGTCGAGCGTATGAGTTCCGTTTAGTATTCAGCATCAGGCCGATCGCTGAGCTTTCAACAGGTGCTTGATGTATGAAGCCACAACCTGCAGAGCTGCTGCTCCTCCACAGATTAAACAGAGACGTCCCTGAGCTGCTGCTCTGATGGAAGGTAAATTCATCCATTAATTACACAAAAAGTCTTTCAAATTTATCCTCTTGATTTTTCCTTGGAGTTGTTCAAAAACTTCATGAATGTTACTAAAACTAACATTTTTTTTTTTTTACTGAAAGTGCTGTTTTAAAAACCCATCTGCTGAAAGCTTCTCTGTGCTCATCTTTAATCTGGATTTTCCAGCGTGGACGTGGTGCGTTCATGATTTTGTGACGTCACACAGTGTGGGAGCTATTCATGGTTCGATATGCAACGAGTGGAAACCTGAAACCTCCACCGCGCATACATTCAGAATGGACTTTTCGGTGAAGTAGGAGACGGCTTGTGTCTCAACTTTTGAAATGAGAAATATTTGCACATGTATAGATTATTTTCTTTTCAGTGGTTAAGGAGTCAGTCATTTTATGAATTTTAATGAGGTAAGTAGACTTTTTTTCTTGGATAAACAGACACTAATTATTATTCAAAGCATATAATAAATGATATATCTTAAAAGATGTCTGGAGGGGATTTAGACATTGCTGCACTTAAGATGTATCACATTTAAGAACTTCAAGAAGTCTATGTATAATTATTTCATAAGTCAGCAATATTCCATACTCTTCTCCCTTATTATTTCCCTTCTTATATGCATATAAACATGGAGGTCTCTCTCCTTCCCACTGATGAGATCAGTCGTTAAATCATTCATGCTATTTGCTGTTCCATGTGTCTGAGCTTTCCTGCCAGAGTCAACGAAAAAATGGAGAGGATACAAAAATGTGTAAACAGCAATCTGCAGTCAGTGCAGCAGCTTTAATATCATCCGAGTGGAGGGAATACTGCACAAGGGCTCCGATTCCAGGATCCTTCAACCCCAGCGAACGTCTCAGGAAGACGGATGACCTCTGGCCTCTCTTCAAAGGTTGGTTGTTGCAAAGAGCTGCAGGGAAACCCGAAAGCACGTGAAACTGTACGACCACTCATGTAAAACTGCACCTTTAAGACCCTGTAGGAATATTACAGGAATAAATGACTGATTCCGTGGGGTTGAAATACTTTTCAGAACAATAAACTCTCATAAACACAACACGCAACAGGTCTCCCTTCCGGTCAAAATAGACGACAACTGCACATTTACAGACGAATCGTCTATTTAAAAACGCTTATTTTTTACATGACGTTTTGAAACGGTTTCGATCACATTATCTCTTCATTTAGTGTTTTCATAATGACTCCGGACGTTATGTTGGCGTGACTTTGACTTCGTAAATTGCAACCAAAACTACAAAATAAAAGCATATATGTTCATATACAATAAAAAACACACGTGTATATATATATATATATATAAGTAGATGTTAGTCTATCACGTTCGATTCAAAACATTAAAACCAGCCAGTGGGTCTGTTTCATAACGCGGCTGCAGCTCCCTCGGTTTAAATTTCGTGGATCTGTTTTGACTCATCTCGTCTCAGATGAAAAATAGTCGCTTCAAGTTTCTTTTCTTCTTATTCTCTCTCTCTCTCTCTCTCTCTCTCTGTAAATGAAGTGCATATTGTGAATGCTGGGCTTTTTATTCAGAGCTTGGCTCTCAGATAGTCTATTTATAAATGTTAACAATGTGCAGCCCCACGTTTGGAACACGGATGAATTATGTCCAGAAAAAACTCATTATAAGGGCTTTTGATTCATTCTGGTCCTCGCAGGGCAGCGTTTTATGAGTACTAGTCAGACTCTGATTAAGGTCGTATCTTTTCAAGTGAAAATACACTCAATATTTTTGGAGAAGAAACAAAAAGTCGATAATTAATTGGTCTGTGGTGCCTATTGAATAGACTTCTCGAGAGTATTATGGGGCTTTTATGTCACAAATAAGTTAATAATAAAACAAAAAAAGACAGCAATAATATTAAAAGAAGTATATATTCTATGCCCAATATGTTGAATAAGATATTTCAGCTTTAAAATACTCCTGTGTTTTAGCCGTGAATTGTTCAAAGTAGCGTAATATTCTTGCGTAGGAACAGGCTGGAGACCTAAAGAAAGTTAATATAATGCGTAAAGAACGCATTCAATTAAGACACATGTTAAGCAAAAGAAAAAGTTGAAACAAATGCATTGAAAGTAGTTCTAGTTTGTAGTTAATTTGCCATAAATGTTATTAAATTGTATATGTAAATTATCAACTATCATTGCAGTTGACCTCGGGATAAAGTTTTATCGTATATCGTTATTGTTATTATTTCTCCAGGCGTAGCCTAATTGTTCGTAATTGTAAATCACCACGTGTACAATATTAATTATATAAATAATGATCTAACTAAAACAATAGCAACTTGTAAAGTTATGTTTAATGTTATAAATATGAATATGAATATAAGAGCGTAAACAAATAGTGACGTCGTCATTACTTCTCATTCAGAGTCAGAAGTAAAGTTAAACTTCACAAAGTCTGCGATGAGCTTTAAATGAATCATTTAGGTCTGCTGATGTATTTTTCTTTTACTCTTTTCATTATTTTTGAAGCTCCAGACGAAAGTGATTCTGAAGTTCATTAATTTCATAACTTAAAAAGAAAAACCTGGAGCAAAAGAGTTGCAATGTGTAAACAATATCAGACTAAACCTGCAGCAGACACATTTTTAATTCATCTGAACTCATATGAACAATATGTCCGCAGGAGAAACAAGAGTTAATTGGCGTCCATGCCCCAATAAGAAAGTTTTCCAAACTCTCAGCAGAGTCCCGCACACATGCTCCAGCCTCCACTCCGAGGCTCCCACGGCTGGCACCGCCCGCGCCTCCCTCTGATTGGTCCGCTGCCATCAACGAACGTCCACATATTTACCTCCCGCGCACCTATTGGCTGCCGCCGCTGTCACTCCACCGCATGTCTCTGTATAAGGTCTCGTGCTCCGGCTGCAGTTTTTTTTAATCAAACCTGAGATGAGCCCGGAGCAGCACCGCGGTGCGCCTGTCGCAGCTCAACAATCTCCCATATTGTAGCCAAAACTATGATTTCAAATTCCTCACTGCCTTTTCAGTCCTGGATTTATTATATCTCTCTCTATTATATTTAGAATAGAGTTTGTTTTTATTTGTAAGTTGTATTTATTTATTTTTTAGTTTGAGCCGAGCATGTGCGTAATTTTGCGAGGATTGTCGAGGTGCCACCAGGAGTGAGTTGGGCAATATGCGCCGCTGGGATATGATTTTCAACCGAAAGGCTTATGGAATATAGCCCGGTTTGTCACAGCCTGTATGCCCTCTGGTCCAGCCCCGTGAAGAAGAAACTAATCCTGCTCAGCATCATGTTCTTAATCTGGGTATACATGCTGTACTCCTGCGTGGGCTACTGCTCCACCATGCCAAGTTTGGTGGTGGACGGTTACCGGGGCAAGGAGACCGGAGCGGCGGTGGCCAAGAGGACAGAGAGCGCCAGGACGGACCTGGTGTCCAGGCTGCTGGCCCAACCGCAGCCGTGGGAGGATATAGAGAGCGACTACGAGGAGCCGTCCATCAGGACCGCCGCGTCCCGAGACCTGCTCAATAACGAGCTGGAGGCGGACAGAGCCGACGACTGGGACGAGATGCGCGGCGAGCAGCAGAGAGCCCCGGAGCCCAGCGCCATGTCCAGCTTCTCCAACGGCTCCGGGAGCAAGAAGCTGCCGCAGGCGATCATCATCGGGGTGAAGAAAGGAGGGACCCGGGCTCTGCTGGAGTTCCTCCGGGTTCACCCGGACATCAGAGCCGTGGGCGCGGAGCCGCACTTCTTCGACCGCAACTACGACAACGGACTGGAGTGGTACAGGTAACGACTACAGTTTCATTGACGCTGCTGCGTTTGGATGATGAGTGGATGTGTGCAGAAAAACATGAATGTAAGAGTTTGGGTCAGATGAATTGTATTACTCCATGAAATAGATTTAAAGGGGGATCGGCAGTGCAGTGCTGCAAAACAGTGCTGGTATTGTATGCCAATATAGTAAAAAATAAAAATACGTGTTTTATCAAATTGATAGTGTTTCTACAGAGAAATTTAAAGGTTTTCTTTATTGATCTCCCAGAAACACTAACAGCGTTAGAGGCAGCCTGAGAAGCTAATTAACTCATAGGTTTGATAGGACCTCCATAAAACTATAACATATAGATATTTAAATATAGATATACATCTATATATATATTTATTTTTCATTATAGCAATTATCCAGAAAGTTTCGAGTTTATTCCAAACTGAAACTATTAAAATAGATTTACACGGTGACAACATTTGGTTGTGACTCTTGCTCTACTTTCTGTCCATTTACACCTCTGTTGGCTCGCGCACATTATTATTAATTGCATTAGTTGATTTTAAGTTGTGATCGCAGACTTGGTTGATCGTGGATGTTATTTTATAAAGTATTGATTTGTTGTCACGTTACGAGGCTGCTCGTAGATCACAGGCAGGCTGGCCTGTTCCTGCGATGCGCAGTGATCTCTATTGGACGCAGCGCAACACTGCACCTCCACGCTGACGTGTCTCCGGGCTTCTCTGTCGAGTTAGAATGTGAAATTATTTGTTTTTTTGTTAGTTTTTTATGATCATGGTGCGTTTTTATCAATGAAATCGGATTCATTTGGAGTAGGGTTTGGCGTTATAGGAACGTTTCTGATACATTTGTGTCAGCGCCTTCGTGATAAAACCTGACCCCACAGATATTGTTTATTACATTATATGCAGTGTGATATCATGCGTAATGGCACAATGGCACAATTTGCGCAAATCTGACTGATCCCAGTGTGATGAGATCCAAACTTCTTTTTTTTTACTTTTTGAGATTTAAAAAAGAAGAGATTATTACAGTGGGGTTTTTGTCTTGTAGAATATTTAACTTAATAGTCTTCACAGAGCTGAAAGCGTTTATATGGTTCTGAGCATTCTTGTGTCAAAGGGCTCCACAGGCCTAACGGTTCACGTTGCGAGAAAAAAAGGGGATCTGCAAGACAAAGTGTGGATCCCACTCAGAATAAAACCCGCTTAACATCTTCAGAGGTCGACACACTAACATTATCCTTTTCATTTACATCACGAAGTGTTAATATAAAGAGCTGCTCGAGTTTTTCTAATCTTCCGTGAATTCGTTTTTTGTATTCTATCTGAGTAATGTAAATGTATCAGACTGCTGTTTTTCTTTTGTTTAAAAATAAACACACAAAGGTTATGGCTCATAAATCGCCAATGGCTAAATCCACACCCTGATTGGCTGTTGGACTTACCACTTACAATCCGCTAATTATGTTCAGTCTTCATATCGGATAAGCTGTGGAAAGTCTTTTATCAAAGTTTGTATCTGAAGTTCAAGCTCATCTGAAAGATTTAAAAACAACTTTTAGGTTTTCTTGATTTTTCTAGAAGGGATTTTGCTCTTCTTCTACACGTTGAATGTGCAACACCTCGAGGTGGGCCCCCATCAATGTGCGACATCACGAAAAACAAAAAGAAGAGCCGAATGGGGGAAGCGTTCAAACTAAAGACACCCTTCCTTGATCTGTGCGAGGTTTCCTGCGCTCCCTTTGACAGATACAGAGATTTACTTTTGGTTTGGAGTTTGCAGGGAGGCTGTTATTTAACTCCCACATACAGTGTTTTCCAACGAGTGTTTTTTTAGGCCATGAAATCGAATTCCTTTTGAGCCATGTAAAGAAGCCATGACTGGAGGGTTTTTATGTTGGGGTCATTTTTCTCTATTTCCTTTTGCTGTCCCAAAAAAATAACCTAATATGTTCAGTCTGACTCACAGAAATACACGGATAACTTTTCTTTTTTTCTAATTCGGCATTGAAAGCAAAACTCGAGAAGACTTCAGATAATTTGTGTGGTTTGAGGCATTTCATGCTGCAACAGGATACCCAAACAGTGTTTATGCCACGCACAAAGTCCATTCACTTGTTTGTGTCTTATAGAAGAAGTGCTCTCTCACTGGGTGTTAGAATAGTGAAATCCATCTTCACACACTTTAATGGAAGAATTGCATGTTTCAGTGAAACAGCTGGTGTAAGCAAAGCAGTCCCAAAGTAGTGGAGGAAAAACAAAAAAACAGTTTTGAGTGATTCTATTTTTTTCGAGCCGAGGATGGACCGAGAAAGGAAATCATTTATTGCTGATTCTCTAAAAAGTTTCCCCCCCATTAGCACCAGATAGGGATGAACGCTGGAATGTTCCACACAGGGGCAAAATTGCATGGCATTGAAATATATTCTGTGGGAATGTGATCTGCTCATGGTCATTTATGGAGGCGGTTACAGACGTGTGTGTGTGTGTGTGTGTGTGTGTGTGTGTGTGCGCGAGTTGTGCAATTCACCTCTCCTTGTTTGTTCATTTGCACAATCTCTCTGCTGTCCACTATTGTACCCTCTCCCACCCCCCCACCTCCGTACCCCCAAAATGGACGCACATTTTGAGCTGGAATTCCACCGAGTCAATGCAGCCACAGAGGGAGCAGGAAAGACTCGGAGGGGGGGGGGGGAGCCTCAAAATGAATGGGTGTGGCGATAACAAGTCTTATTGTGGACTTCTGATGACAGTTTTTATTTGTGCTAAAGACAAACACACGATTCATGCTTTTGACCGAGGGGTCCTTGTATCAGGAGCTACACATTTTCACAGTGAGGTCATGCACGAACTGGCAACCAAGG